TACTCTAAATGAGTTGTCTAAGATGATGTAAGAGTGAAGTTGATGGCTGAGATACACTAAAAAAAATTAGAAATTACATCCTTCCCCATCTTTTTCCGTTAGACAAATCTTGTTGTAATATTTAAAATGAAAATTTCAAAAATTAAATTCAAACCTTATATAAATACTATTGTTAGCAAAATTATAATCAACTTGAAGAACTTTAGAGCTGTCCTGGGATTGATGTCCATAGTCACAGCCAAAAATCGTTTTTGCTTGATCGTCATTGCCCGACTAGTATCACCAGGTTTTCATCATCCTACCATCATTGTTGGACTATCATCATCTAATTGTTATCACCTAAACACCATCTGCCATTGCTTGACAATGGTCTGTTGAACATCCCTTGCATAGACAACACTAAAATCAACCAACTGACATCATTATCTAATTGTTTTTATCATCCACCATTTCCTTAAGACTTTCCACAACATGATAGGAGTTCAAGCTTACAATTCCTTTGTTTTTCAATTTCATTTTCTTCAATAGAAAGAAAAGCTAATCTATGTGTAAGGTTTCTTATATATGATGGTTTATTTCAATTAGATTAGGCCATATGATTTTTTCTCCATTTTGAATTTTAATTCATGTAAAAACTCTTAGGGTCTGATGGGAAGTTATATTATCTATGTGTATGCAAATATCAATATAACACTAAAATAAAATAAAAAAAAATCTTTGAATGATTGGATATGTTTTTATTACAGATAAGTTATGCCCAAAATTTTGAGCTCTGATATAATAAAAATTAAGTCGATTGCTTTGAAATTTATCGAATAACTTGGCAATTATAACCATGCTATAGACTCACGAAGTCTTTCTGCTTTTTATGCTGACATTATTGTGGCATTACAATGTCGTATTTGCTTGAAGAGTTACTAAAAGTTACTGACTTTGTGCTACTAAACAACACACAAATAATTGGACTGAATTTCAAACTATTTAGTATTATATATCATACTATTCCAATTGTCTTTTATGTCAATGCAGCACAATGCAGAATATAAAATCACACAACAAACAAGTAAAAAAACACTGTACAATTTATGTGGTTCGGTGCAAATCGACTGACGTTCATGAGGAGAGCTTATTTTGCTTTCCACAGGCGGTGAGAGAAAAGAAAGATGACCGAAATAGGGTTACAACTCTGCTCACAAAAATTAGTCTTAGGATCTGTTTGGGGCAGTTGGAGCTGTTTGAAGAAACAATTGTGAAGCTATTGTTGAAGAAATTACTTTTCAAAAATTACGGTGGCTATTACAAATTTATTATTTTCAAAAAATTAAACTGCGGCTTTCTAGCAACCACCACACTTTAACATCTCAAGTTGAATTAGATGGTTTTCTACCACATAAATTACTAAAAGTAGCAAGAAAGCAGTTTCTCAAATATAACAATGACGGCGGTCCGAAAAACAAAGCAGACTGAAAGTAATCCCAAACAGACCTTGAATTTTTTCTATAAATAAGAGAGGGTAAGGGCAATAAATTAGGAATATTTCTAATATAGAAAATATCATATAATTAGATCTCATCTAATTATATTACATTGTATCAATCTTCCTAATATAAAAAAATTATGTAATTTGATCTCCTCTCATCTGATTACATAATATCAATACAACCATATTAGAATTAATATTTTAGATAGCACTTTAGCCCTTTCATTTATCTATATCTAATGAATTAGTTAATGTCATTCACTTAGTTTTCTTCACAAATTAATTAATTAGTTTTAAATATAAGATGATTGAGATTTTTATTGTCATTCATTAAACATTGTATTGATTTTTGAATCGTAATTAAATTGACTCGGCTCGTGTTTTATTAATATTACATTGTAATTATTTCAACTATAACATTCATAATAAATTAAAGTAGTATATCTCTAAGAATGATAAAAGAATCACATATGAAATATGACAATAAGCATTTAGATATATGTGATGAACGATGTCATGATTATCTCTATTAAAAAGGGCTTATCAAAAGCAATTTATGTTTTGCAAACATACATGTTTAAATAAATGAAAGACTTATGGCCTACTTGAGATCAACCGTGTTTTACTGATCTTATCTTTTAAAAGCACTCAAAACATGTTAAAGTAGATGTCTTGAATAATTTTAAAAACAACTATCTTTATCAATCATGTTTTAATTTAAATTAAAACATAAAATAATAATAATAAATGAAAAATTGAAAATAAATATGTTCTCAAGCAACCATTTCATCCATATAGAATTTTGTGGATTAATCTTAAATCTCTATAGTTCTAATTTTTTATTTGAACTAAATGTTTTAGGGCTGACAAGTTCAAAGGTTGAATGAAATCAGTAACACATAGCAAGTAAGAATTAGTAAGATTTAAATCCAATGGAATTTCAGAACCACATTTTATATATATATATTTTTTTACATATAACAATCTTTGTTGTTGGCAAATTAGCATTTTTTATGTGTTAAATTATATGCTTTTTAAGCAAGAGCTAAAGCACTATGCAACAAAATTTGTAAGAAGCCATAAGAAGAGCAGCATTGACAACTCTGTGGAATATTAATCTAGTGCATATATTGTAGGCATTTTATCATAACTTGGCAACTCCTTTCCTCCTTTATAAAGGTGTAAGGCAATTGTGTTCCCCACACATCGGAGAGATTTAAAGAAGCCGGAAGACAAATGATCACTAGTGACAACTTGAAGGAGATTGTATTGTCTATGCTTGCAAGAATTACTACAGTAAGATGTTTTAGATGGTGGGGCAATAAGAGTGAGGAAGAGATAGAGGTAGATGATGGAGATGATGACAAGGAGGAGAACAAAAATAAATAAATTGATAGTTTGTATTAATTGTTGTTTATTTCTTTTATTTATTTAATTTATAATCATTATAGTTATAATGTTAATGACATTTCTCAGCTTTGACTTGCTAATTTGTCTTGAAAAAAGTTCAAATTTCAATATTTGGCAAATAATTTTATGTTGTTTAGTTTATGTATGTATAACTTTATATTTACTAGCCACAATTTACATAATATTGCATGCTCCACATGTATTACAAAAAAGAAAGAAAGTTTTCGCAGCACTTTATACAGACATCGACTGCCGTAAAAACCCCTACCATGCTCTTTGCAGTAGAGTTTAAATCGATGTAATTGCTAACACTGTAAAGACTTTTAGCAATGGTTTTAAATAGTTTTATGTGCTCTTTTAATATTTTTAGTAACAAATTTAAAAAGTACATTTAAATAAGCGATGTCAAATACTTTTTCTTAGTAGTGTTCGATTTGTAATTATTTGAAGATGATTATTATATTTGTACATCAGAAATTTACCATCACAAATCTCGAGGACAATCAACAATCCAGGAAACAAAAAGTATCATTATGGAGAGTCCACCACTAGAAGACTAGAAGGTCTGCTTATACAATCAGACACAGTAGTACCAAGCCAAAGCCAATGCTGACCGGATGAGGTCATCCAAGCCAAAGTCTACAAGGCAAAAGACATATAGATGACCCGAGCTCAAACCTGAGAAAGACTTGGCTCCTCAATACCACCAGTTATCCTATAGACACCAGAGGCTCCTTATTAAGGATCAAGAATTGGTAACCATGTCACAAGACATTTGAATCATCTCTCCGGCTCTCCTTGTTGGGGGAGTGAGTTACCTATCAGATTATAATAATTCACCATCTGCCCAATAGCTTAACATCACTCAATTGACAGGAGCATCCCATCCCATTAGGAATCGAAGGTTAACAATCCGATTAGATCATCCAATCAACCGATCTAACCACTCAAGCTAGCTCTACTGACCCAGATACCATCAAAGCCAACCAACTATCTCGACTAAGCACAGTCGAACAAGAAGACCCTACCGAACCAAGGCCCACCGAGCTCAGCCAATTAAATCAGAGCGTAGCCGAGCTGTAGGACCATACAAGTAAAATACCTATAATATCTCGTAACACCCCAATTAAAGTAGAGGTAAACTTGTAACTTCATATATTGTATTCCTTTCCATAGAAATAGAGTCATTTTACCAGACAAGCAGCTGTAAGCCGTTTATCTACACATAGTTTGTGCCCAATTTGAAACTGCAAATGCTTCGATGGTTGAAAATGAGATGATTTTCGCAGTGAAAATCAAAAACTTTATACAAAAAGTTAATTTGTATATCCATAGCACACAAGTGTTGTGCCCCTCCACAGCCTTCTCTGTCTTTATCGAGAGAATTTCTTCTATTACTATATGAAAAATACCATACATTCTCTCAAAACAACTTTAAATTTTATAAGATATCATATGAATAAGCCATTTTAATTAGCTAATTATGTTTTCGTACATCATAGTTTTCCTATTTATTTTGATGTTAAGGAATTATAGTAATTCCTCTCTAATATTTATTCATTGCACCATACATATATGCAAGAGAAATAAAAGATAAAACGGGGATAAATAAGTTCCAATTTTCTAATAATTGTTTGGTTTTTGGCGGAATAATGTTTGTATTGTAAAAAGAAAACAGATTTAAAAAATTCTAGTGTTTGGTAAGGAAAAAATAAATGCTAATGTAAAATTTGAATGGGGTTTTGCATTAACCCTCAAGTTTAATTTCAATATACTTTGAATTCATTTGTTTTGTGTGAATTTTAGATATTCCGCTTGTATAAAATATTGGCAACTTTCGTTGTTGCCTATCGCTGCCCACCCCAATCACCGACATTGTTGGCAATAACCCACTCTGGCTGACCACCACTCTTCAACGATTGTCACTCACTATAGTGATTGCATATTCGCACTATTGCTAATAGCCATAACCACGAGTCCACTGCCACCGACCGTTTAAAGCCACCACCAACATTATCTAGCATCATCTAAAGTCACCATCAACATCGAAGATCACTACTACCCACAACCATCTTGGCTATTTATATCATATTTGCAGTGCACTCATCCCTACATTGGTTTTTTCAACACACAAGATCTAATTTCTTAAAAAAAAATGTATTTTTCCCAGCCCTTCTCTCTATTGCCATTACTTGCAACTCCCTTATTATTTCTTACCATATGTGGTTGAGACATTGTTTCATGATCCCAACATGGCATCACATAATATTGATGATAATTGTTATTTAAATTCATTGTTGCTTCAAACCAATATATAATTTCCGCATCACCCAACACCATAAAAATTTAAAAAGCATAACTAATATTCCAATGCACAAAAGCTCAACATTTCTTACTAATCCCCACCAACCACTACAATAAAATACACTTAAAACCGCATCCCAAGCCAACCTCCCCCCACACCTCTTCCCTCCCTCCTTCCCTCACCTTTCCTAAAACAAAAGTCAACGCAACATGCCTGGCAACATTGAACCCTTCGCCGCCGCGCGCCGCCTCTGTTCTTCAAAGAATGTGTTTTGATCAACAGATCTGTGTATTCATAAATGCAAAGATTATATTTTTATCAATATATAAATCTAGTAAGTGGATTTGGTTACCTTCGATTAGCTCAGCTGATAATTTTTCTGCGAGACGAAAGAGGGTTTCGCCGGCGGCCGGCGCCGATGGGGACGTTACGGAGGACGCCGCCGGCCGTCCTACATCCTT